TTAAAAAGTGAATGGATGAAGGTTTAGCTCAAAGATTAGTAAATTCTAGTGATGAACTTACTAATCTTTCAAAGGGAGAAAGAGGTTTGGTGAATTTGGTAATTGGAGAAAATCGAAAGTCAAGAAAGGGTTTGACAAGGTAATTTTGGCTATCAAAAGCTTGAGAAATGAGAGAAATGAGGCCTCTATTTATAGGATTTAGGCTTGGAATATTTGGTGGAATGGAATTTGGTTTGGAAACAAAATTAGGCTTGGAATTTGAATTTGGAGGGAAATTCAAGATCAAGTGGTGATTAGTGAAGGTGTATGGTGGAAATTAATTGTGATGAGGTAGTGGAATTATTTTTGGGTGATCTAGAATATTCTCAAATGATGAAATTGGTGTCAAATGCTTCAAAATTTGAAAAATGCTGATTTTGGCCAATTTTGTCCTTGTGCAATCGATTGGACCAATAGTGCAATCGTTTGCACTGCCCAAAACTTCAAAATCTAGGCAAAAAATGCAGGGTGCAATCGATTGGACCAATAGTGCAATCGATTGCACATTTGAAAAACTTGAAAAATGCCCTGTTGGCTGGATTGTGCTGGCTCTGCCTCGATACTTTTTCTTATCAAAGAAGGCATGGAAATAAACACATGAACCTTGGAGTTTTCTTGAAAATAATCAATCAATACTTGAGAACTCTTGATCAAATGAATTTAATTTGTTTGTAGATCAACTTTGACTTTTTTCAGATGAATTTCATTCGAGCTGAGGGACTGTTGATTGGTGTTCTTGATCCAAACTTCTTTCTGAAAAAGTTAGTAAAGGGAAAACAAACATATTTTTGAATTTTGGTTAAAGGTTAGTAAACATAAACATAAACAAATACCAAACAAGCAAGAAAACAAAGGTGCCCGGTGATCTCTCAAGAACAAACTTGCAGAAGAAGGCAAGAGAACCAAAGCTTGCAATCTTGTTTGTGGGATGAGATGCAAATGACATGTGGGATCTTAGGGGTAAAAATTAGGGTATTACAACTGCCCCTATTTATGTTTCTTCTATCCGGAGATATGAATATTGACATCTTTGTCTCAACTAGATAGAAGAGACTTAAATATAACAAATAAACTCAATTTTTGGCCCTAAGAGGCCACAAAGATGATATGATTATGCTAATGTTATGGTATGCAAACACAAGACCACTGTGGGGAGAAAAATGTCACAGGAGAACAAATAAACACTGGGGAGAAAAATAAGGAAAGAGACTCCATAAGGGAAAGCAAAAGAGCAAGATCCTTTTCCAATAAAGGAAAGGAAACCACTCAATAGGGTGAGAAATATTACCTACTACCAGTTAATAGATAGAAAAACAAAGGCAATATACTCAAAAGGTGAAGAAATATTATCGGATACCCGTCACTAGGTAGAAAAATTTGAGTAATAAACTAAAAGGAGGAGATGTCAACTACCTACTACCTATCACTAGGTAGAAAATAAAGGCAACAAGCTCGAGAGGAAGGATTGCCTTTTACCGGTCAAATGGGTAAAAACAAAGGATAACCAACCAAAAAGGGTGAAAAATATTACCTACTACCAGTCAATAGATAGCAAAATAAAGGCAATATACTCAAAAGGTGAAGAAATATTACCGGATACCCGTCAATAGGTAGAAAATTTTGGGTAATAAACTCACAAGGAAAGATTACTGACTACCAGTCACTGGGTAGAAAAATATGACGGTAACTAACCAAAAAGGAGGAGATAAATGCTACCTACTACCTATCACTAAGTAGAAAATAAAGGCAACAAGCTCGGGAGGAAGGATTATCTTTTACCGGTCAAATGGTAAAAACAAAACCAACCAAAAGGGTGAGAAATATTACCTACTATCAGTCAATAGATAGCAAAATAAAGGCAATATACTCAAAAGGTGAAGAAACATTGTCGGATTATCTTTTAATGTAAGAACTGGCTTTTTCCTCAACGGTCCTATTAGTACTGAACCTCTTGAAGACTCAAAAGTTAAACGTGTTACACACTGAATTCAGAATTTGTTGTGCATCCATCTTCGACGTCTCTTGTACTATAGAGTACAAGCAAAGTCACTTGACCAAGTTACCTCCTCAACGGTTAGTTTCTGCAAAGGCTATAAATATGGCTGAAGATTCAAGTTTGAATTTTAACAAGGATTCTTCTGATGAAGGAGTAGCAAGATCAACTAATTATCAACTCTATTGTAATATGCAGATTTTCTATTATAGGTTGTAATTGTAAAAGTCTTTAAAAAAATTTACTATTGAGTATCTTAGAAATCTTAAGAGCTTTAGGTCTTTGTTATGGTGATTTCTCGTACCTCCGATACTTGCATCATGTACACTTTGTTCTCTATTATGATGAGCCTTCAGTAGTTTAGATCAAGTCTCTTGCAATGTGTTTGAGCAGAAGTCTTGTCTCATTGGGATTCAAGCAACAAGTCTTTAGTCAAGATGCTTAAGCCACGTGAGTCATATTGCTTAAGTGTTTCAGCTGTAAAAGTCTTATTCAACTAGTCTGATTGAGCAAGGGAAAGTCTTCGTCTGAGGGGTGTGAGCAAGAAGTCTCGAGTGCAGCTTGAGTAAGGAAAGTCTCAGTCTGAATGGTTAGAAGAGCAGGTGGCTCGGCTAGAGGATGTGAGCAAGAAGTCTTAGACATGTGCTCTAAGTAAGGGGAAGTCTCATCCTGAAGATTGTTGGAGCAGGTGGCTCGTCAGAAGGTGTGAGCAAGAGAATTCTTAGACATGTGCTCTAAGGGAAGTCTCAGACAGCTGGTCCAAGCAATTGTAAAAGACTTATGCAGAAGTATAAGCGATTGTAATCATGAATTGGTTATAATGAAAATCTCTTGTGAGGTAAGGAGACTGGACTACTCTCAGTTAAGGGAGGAACTAGTATAAATGTTTTGTGTCTCCTTCTATTATTTTGTTTACTTCTATTATATCTGCTGCCAATGAATTAAAATAGAATCTAAACATCATTTCTGATTTTGAAACTCTGATCAGAAGTTAAATTAAAAGAAAACGCGAAACACAATTCAAAACCCCTCCTTCTTGTGTATTTTTCACACCATTATATACAATATTAAACAAACAAACAGTGTGACCCTGCCAAAAGAACCCTCCCTTAAGTGATTTCCAAATTGGGTAGGAGTTAACAAATTTAATTTTAGTTGATCTTTGGACATTAATGAGCATTTGTTAGATTTTTTTTGTTTTTGCAGGGGAGAGTTAAAGAGAAATTATAAGATCCTTATTTGACTAGTAATATTGAGGACATTTTGGCTAATTAGAAACGACACATTATTTAATGGTGCGGTGAAAGGAAGTCATGACATTGTTCTTGTGGTGAAATCCTTAGTTTGGGACTGTATTAGAGTTTGGCCTAACACTACCTTACAAAATCGGTTGGTAAGGTGAGGGGTGTCACTCTATATAAACTATTTCAATGCTCTATCTCCAACCAATGTGGGACTTTAGGATCTTCCTAATACATCCCCTCACATTTCAATGCTCTATCTCCAACCAATGTGGGACTTTAGGATCTTCCTAATACATCCCCACGCCCAGCACAAGGTCCGATCGATAGGCTCTGATACCATATTAGAGTTTGCCCTAACACTACCTTACAAAATCGGTTGGTAGGGTGAGGGGTGCCACTCTTTTTGGGCTTGGTGCGTGGATTTTAAACGGTGGGCTGCCCAAGGTCCGATCGATAGGCTCTGATACCATATTAGAGTTTGGCCTAACACTACCTTACAAAATCGATTGGTAAGGTGAGGGGTGTCACTCTATATAAACTATTTCAATGCTCTATCTCCAACCAATGTGAGACTTATCTTCCTAATAGACTGGATTAGTGCTAGATCGAAAGGTTAGTTTGGTTAATCTAAAGACGATTGTTTGTCAAAATTTAGAAAGGTTTTGAGTTAGTTTTGGTTGTGCTCTATCTTTTGTATTCAGGTTGAGTATCTTTTATACCCACTTTAATGCAATTGTTATACTTATAAAAAAATGTCAATAGAAAGAGATATAGAGTTATATTATCTATAATTTAGGGACGATAATGAGATTGATGGTGTAAAAAAAACAGTGTGCTAAAATGCAATAATTGAAGAAGATGAAAAAAATTATGTGAGGTTTTGAGAAAATATGAGATAGAGTAATAAAGAAAGAACAGAAGAAAAACTTTTGGGGGTGAAGATTGGAGAATAAGCTATGTTTTAAGTGGCGTACTCTCGACCATACATGTCAGTTGCAAGGATTGCGATAACCACAAAAGACATTTTGATGTTACATTGATGTTTAAGAGAAGAGTAAGATCAATAACATGATAACATTTTGATGTTACATTGATGTTTAAGAGAAGAGTATGATCAATAACATGATAACATTTTGATGTTACATTGATATTTAAGTAAGAGAAGAGTAAGATCAATAACATGATAGCATTTTGATGTTACATTGATGTTTAAGAGAAGAGTAAGATCAATAACATGATAACATTTTGATGTTACGTTGATGTTTAAGTAAGAGAAGAGTAAGATCAATAATATGATAGTGAGTGGAAAATGGGTTCCACTATGTAGATGATTTATTTGGAGAATGTTGATTCTATTAGAGAAAAATGAGTAGTCCAGTATAGTACACAACCTTCCAAGTGACGAGCTTGAAAGGAAAGACGTTTGCTAACGCTGATTGACATGTAACATAGCATATTGGCAAAGCCATTGAATTTACATGGATACACTAGCATGTATATATTTTCACAGTAGCAACAATTTTAGTAATGCTTTAAACCAAAAAGAATTGATACAACAAGCCAAAGACTGCATCATTCCTCTTTCGGAATGTACCAGTGCAGATATAAATTAAGGTTACAATCAAAGGTGTAAAATCTCGAGAACTGGGGAATATCAACAACCACGCGACATTCATAATCCAAAATAATGCCAAAATAAATAAGATGGCTGTGTAGAGCTTTAACTAGAGTAGCCTGAGATGAGCTGTATCATTCAGCTTTTTTATCTGCCAACCAGTTCTGAGAGAGTGTTGCAACACAGTCACTGAAGAGTCTTCAATGCAGAACTTATGTGACATCAAGGGGCTACATCCAAGAAGACCCGTAAGGAGACACTTGATTGGCACAGAATGAGTAAATAGTCCTATACAAGAAACAGATGATGAAAAACTGTTGAAATTAGAATTACGCAGGGAACTTTCGTGGTTTACATTGCTAGAAGGAATGTCGTCTTCGATCTCATCTCCTGTAGTTGTCACAAATTGTAGCCTGCTCTTACCAGATTTTTTCCTTGAGAACGCAGGCCGATGCCTGGTGAGAGAATCCCATTGGTTTGAATGGAGAGAATTTCCATCTTGGTCATGAATTGAGTTTGTGAGAGCATGGGAATTGTGCTGAGAAAATGTGTGACTGTCATTTTGATGTGACGAGAAAACTAGTCTCAGTTTTTCATGTAATCCCAACACAGTTTCATTTAAAAAACGAATCATTCGGAATTCTACTTGTCTAAGTGATTCTCCAGAAGGTGCAGCAAAATCTGGCTGGAACCTGTCAATGTAGCTCATAACTTCAGGTGTGTATGTTTCCGATCGAAGACAGCCCTCCCAATTTCCTTGGCTAATCTCAGAAAGTGCATCTGAGGATTGAATTTGCTCCTCTGAAAAATTGACTTCCTGTCCATTGGAACATTAGTTATTAGAGTGAGATTTATTGCAAAGTTCTGAGATGTAATAAATCTATTAAAAGTGAAACTACGAAGACAAATAAAGTTCAGTGTAAGACAATCATGCTACTAATTCAAACAAATTACACTTCTGGCTTTATCTATACTATCTTTTATCGTGCTTTGAGCTAAAAGGTCTCATACTCTTAATGTAGTATCGAAGGAGTAGCTACTACACCAAATTCCCTTCATAGCATTTACTACAGATTCAGGTAAATCAATTTCTTGAGATGATTTTATAACAGAACTAGCTCGGAGGGTAGGAAAGACATTTTTAAAATAATGAAATCACTTCTAAAATTGTTCACTCAATTATTACTGCATTCCAATTAATGACTATTTTATATCACAAATGAAAAGATTGGTAGTGTATCAATTAAATGTACTACAAATCCATAGCATACTGACAATGTGTACCTCCCACATGCCCCAACTGTGTCGGGTAGCTTAATGCATATCCATACCAAATAGAATCGTGGCGACTATGGTTGGAATTTTATTTGTGTGATATTCTCTCTAGCACTAGTTCATAGCGTATCAATTAAATGTACTACAAATCCATAGCATACTGACAATGTGTACCTCCCACATGCCCCAACTGTGTCAGGTAGCTTAATGCATATCCATACCAAATAGAATCGTGGCGACTATGGTTGGAATTTTATTTGTGTCATATTCTCTATAGCACTAGTTCATAGCGTATCAATTTAAATGTACTACAAATCCATAGCATACTGACAATGTGTACCTCCCACATGCCCCAACTATGTTAGGTAGCTTAATGCATATCCATACCAAATAGAATCGTGGCGACTATGGTTGGAATTTTATTGTGTGATATTCTCTCTAGCACTAGTTCATACATAACCTAGGTTAAGAAGAGAATAAATGTAAATGACTAAAGAACCGCCTTTGCAAGAGTTCAAAACATGTATCTCCTCCCTCCATGATTCACTAACGGTTAAGAAACGTGGTTGGGCCTAACTCAACCCTACAAAACCGGCTGGTAGAGTGAGGATTGCCCCCACTTATAAACACATGTTCATGCCATATATTGTCCGATGTGGGACTCTTAACACACCCCCTCACGCTCAGGACTGGACAACTGAAGCGTGGAAATAAATGGTGGGTGGCCCGATAGCGGAAACTATAGAAGGTGGCCCACCGGATCTTAAACGAGGCTCTGATACCATGTTAAGAAACGTGGTTGGGCCTAACTCAACCTTACAAAACCGGCTGGTAGAGTGAGGATTGCCCCCACTTATAAACACATGTTCATGCCATATATTGTCCGATGTGAGACTCTTAACACTAACTCACCAACTCCACCCATCAATTTTATTTTTGCCACTAATTATAATCTATGAAGCATAGACACCCCAAATATGACTCCGACACTGACACGGTGACACTGATAATAATTTGTAAAAATGAATAAATTAAACATAATCAAAAGTGTCGGTGCAGGTGTCCAACCTTGACACTGACACGGACACACTGCTTTTTAAAGGTGTCTGTGCTACATAGATTATAATAGCCTAACAAATTAAATTACAAGGACAGCACACTACTAACAATGACTACCTAAAGGATAGCCCACTGATCCCATGGGCCCATCCTTACTCCTTCTGTGAAACTTCCTAATTGGGGATTTGGTGCTAAGAATACAGCCCCAAAAGTTTCATAATACTAGATGGTACGTTGGATAAAACCTTTGGGGCTGCTGACTACCAAAAGTTCTTGCAAACTTGTAGATCCAGCCCATTGATGGGCACTGCATTACTGTTAGTAGGCTCTCCAATGTCCAAAACCAAGAAAGCCAACAACTCCCACTTCCATCCTGTGGCCAAAAGCATAAAGACACATCAACCAACTTAGCCTTCAACCATTGGAAAAACTTATACTTCCAGGGTTCCCTTGAGATTGGGTGGGTACCTTGTTAATTTCTTCCATTACTAGTTTACTAATTGTATAGAATTAGAACCATTTGTAATTAATAGTGATAGTGGAATCCCTAATAGAGTCTGTACCAGTGTTATTTATGTGTTTGCGGTTCAGTTACACCATCTCGCCATTGGTTCACCTGCATTTTTCGTCGTGGGTTTCTGGCTTATGATTCATGTTTCTTGTCTTGGGTTTGTTTGTGGTGCTTGTTCCAGGTTTAACTCATGCCCAGCTGGAACATTCATGGTTCTTGTTCTTTGTTATTTTTTCTGTGATTCCTGGTTTGGGCTTCTTCTCGCGACTTGTATCTCTAAAAGTCATTTCTTCTTCTCAGTTCTCACTACTTTGGGCACCTGGATCAAGTACATACCTTGTACCTTCTACCCTAGCTTCCCAAGTCAACCCATTCTATAAGCTTCCAGATAAAAACAGGTTCACTGATTTCTTCACTTCTGCGCCGTGTGAAATGCATAAATGGGAAAGTATGGCTTATTCCCCATTGGTTTTATAGCATGGAGATCCCTCTGATGTTTCTGGAAGGGGTTCGTTTCCCTTTGTTTCTTAAGACTAGGTCTACCGACGAGTAATAAAGGGATCTAAAGTTGCTAACCTAATTGCCTTGTTTGTTCTAACCCTATTCTGCACTAAACTTTTCTCCATCATAGGCAGGCTAATCAAGTGTGTCCTCCACCATACCCACTTATTCATCTTAATGTTTGTTTTACTCATCTTTGCTACCACAAAATCTGTTTCTTTTCTATAGTTAGACTTCAAACCTTCATCTTTGCTCCTATTTTCAAGCACCAAAATAAAAAATAAGGCGCGTCACAGACCAAACTGTCAGGTTCAGCACCTACTCAAGTTTAGTACTGCTTGAGCACTACCTTTCAGAAGCTTTCCCACATTGCCTAAGCATTTGTTATGATCCAGTGAAAGAAGATAGAGAATAGGAGAAAGAAAGGAAATGAATGTGTATTGGTACAATTCAAAAAAATAAGGTGAACTAATAATAACTTCTCAGTTACTCAAAACTACAAGACACATCGTCATCAACCAATCCATTTACTAATTACTACTCTTTTTCCAAATGTATCTCAACTGATTACTTCCTGCCAAAAAACTACCGTAAGCTCCTAAATTTTCGCCGCCTCTTTTTCTGCAAGATCTACGCTCTTTTTTCTTAGTTGGGCATTCCTCTGCCTCTTTTGATGACTCTAACAGGATTTATGGCCTCCTTCGATTGGTACCAATGGTTAGCACATACTTCCAGTACTGTGGCTACCAGCTGCAACTTCCCCCCATCACTTGTTCATGTAAAAATGGAGCAACTGTGAGTCTAAATTAGGAGAAGTAATTGCTAAAAGCTGTCTGCAGGATTCAAGAGGAGGTCTCCCTCCACATATCACTCCCAACTACCAAACTTTCTACCTTCTGTGCCTATAGCCTAACAATTAACTACTCTAACAGCTCACAAAGCCTGCCTCTCAGCTCACAAGGGCTGACCAAATTGATTCATTGGCCCCACTCATATCCTTATTTCTCATGCTTAAGCCTTCCAAAAGATGCTAAAATTCCTTCCCACCATTCTATACCACCATCAACAATTTTCTGCACAATTACTTACAGTCTACCAATAAATAAAATAACAATTACCATTTGAGTTTTTAGAGTCTCCTCCTTTTTTATCCTGCTTTGATTAAATGGTAAATAACTTCTCTAAATTTAATTCATGCAAGTCAGCATTCAGTGCAAAGCAACAATAACAATCAGATGTGGCAACTAGTTTATTTGGTACAATGTTGAACTACCATTAAAAGCTAATGTGGACCCAAAAGGAAATAAAATAAATGAATTTAGTAAGCATCAAAAACCATTTTGGCTACTTGTCCTTATAGTGGTCCATTTTCAGCATGAATATTAGTACTGACACATTTCAGTCAGCATCTGGGTGACAGGGTCTGCTAACCTACCTACTGTGTGTTTATAATACCAGGTTTGGCCAATCAAATCATCTGTTAGCTTATACCAATATAAAATTACATCAACAATTCATGTAAATTGAAAGGAAATTTTTTAATCTTAAGAGACTACTGAGCTTTTTTTATTGTTTTTTACAATTCTAGCATTGTCTGCTGTTCATTAAGCAATAAAGTCACAACAAATTTCAAATCCCAACATTGGACATGAGATCTGTGCTAAATTTTATGTTACAAGGGATTGATTGGAGGCAATATCAATTTGGTATAGGTTAGGGATGAAAACCAACAAAATTGGGGCCAAATGATACTTAAGCATTTGCATTTTATCAATTCTGCTTTTGATTATCATTCATGCTAGCATGTTCAAAATTGGGGCCAAATGATACTCTCAACAGAGAACTTCAATCTCTTAAAAGTTAGCCCAGTTCGGTGGAACATGCTAGCATGAATGATAATCAAAAGCAGAATTGATAAAATGCAAATGCGGCTCATCACTTCCCCCATTAAAAAAATACATATGACATGTAAATGGAATCATCAATCAGGAGATTCCATTCATCACGAGAAAGACATTCTAAGAAAATAAATCATGATAATATAGGAAAACAACAAACTAGCACACTCAATGTTAAGGTGAGCAATTATTCAAAAGCAATAACACCATGGTTCACTTTTAAAAAGCGATCAGTTTACAAGGAAACTTCATTGACATTTTCAATTATAATCAGGCAAGGAATCAGTTCTCCTATTTTCCATTTCATCTACACTCTCATATATTTGTAAAGTGTAAATACAACATTACCTCTTCTTCAACTTCTACCATTCAACATAGTATTAAAGTTTTAAAATGCAGTTAACAACCACAATGGTAATCTTTTATTCCTCACATTTATCCCTAACCTTTTACAATATTTTCAATTGTAGCTCGACCACAATTAATACCATTTAACAGATCTGATTCTTCAGAAGTAATCAACATTCTTTAGAGTTTAATATAAGTAATACCAACTATTAATGAATAAATCATTCGTTGATATTACTACATCCATACCCAAAACAAATCATGGTTGTGTTCCGGGATGTTAAATAGCGGCTACAATGTTGAGAAATTTGAACAAATCACTATTTCAGCAGCTACTGCAACAATATAGCATAGGGCTGCTTAGCAGAATTTTAACAACCCGCTATTTTACACTATCCATGATTGACAAGACTGATTAATGATTATCTTAAAATATAAATCCTGATTTCTTATTATTAGTTGAGATTACTTACTTCATGAGACGTACTTCTAAGTGCATATTTGGAATCACATTGAGTTTAACCAAATCATTTATGTAGATTTCATCAAAATCACGGCAATACTACACTATTATATCTAGCTCAGATTCAATACAAACATTGCATAACACGATTCAACTCACACAAACCAAATCACAGAGGACTTAAACATCTACAATGGACAATGAAATCAGCGAGGGAACTACCTTACACACCGAAACGGCAGTTGACCTAGCCCGATCCAACCCCGAACAATAAACCGCATTAAACCTCACTCCCTGAGACTTAAGAAAAACAGCCAAAGCCCTAGCCTGCCGTTTCCCATTCGGCGTCAACACGGCCTCCGAACACCTGCCACCAACCAACTCCGGCGCCAAATTCAACTCACATTCCCCATGACAGATCAAATAAACCTCCACAACCTCCTCCTCACTTCCCACGCCACTCACCGACGAAAAACTCCGCGAAAACATTCCCGCCGCCGAAGGCGGCGTCGGCGGAGCCAAAACGTTGTACGGATCCCATACCTTGATTGACGGACCAAGCCGCGGAGTTCCGAGAGAAGACAGTTGCGGTGAAAGCGGAGAAGCTGACGCGTGGCACGGAAGCATTTCGGGTTCTTGTTCTAGAACCTTCTTGACTATAAGGTGGTTACGTAATTGGGACCCACCTATGTGACCGTTAATGTTGGTTTCTTCATCATCTTGTTCTTCTTCTTCTTCATCGCTATCTTCAACGCCTTGTGATGAGTGATTCGCACCCATTTTTTATTTAATTATTATTATTTTGTAAAACGACGTCGTGGATTTGAAATGTGTTGGATAGATCTGAAGAGAGGAGTAGATCTGGGTTTTGTGAAATTTGTAACGTATTGAAGGAATCTGAATGTTTGTGAATGTGAATATGAAGAAGAGGATGAAGAAAGTTGCAAAAACTACACACTAAAACTTTTTCTTTACATTTTTAATTCAATTTCTTTTTTAGAAATATATCCTTTTGAGAAATATATTTGATTTTTTTTAAAAGAAGTGGTGTGGTATTTCCTCAACAAAGAGAAAATATTGTGTAGTAATTGGGATTTAAATCCATGTCTATTGAGGATGTGAATATACTAAAATGATATTTAATATTTAAATAAAACATGATATTTCCTTGTCAAATTATGAATCACTTTTTTTTTTAATTGTCTCAAGTTAGTTTACAATTTTGATATTTTTTTTTAATATATTCTTTATTATTAATTATACTATTTTTTTAAATTATTAATTTTATAATAAATAAAAAATAATATTATAAAACCATATTAAATTTATATTTTTTATATAAAATTAATAATCTTTCTTAATTCACATGAAATGTTTAAATTATCTTATAATTAAGGCGGAAAAAGTATTTAATAATAAGTAAAACAAATAAAAATAAATTTTACCTATTTTAAATTTTTTATAAAAATAAGTAAATAATAATTTATAAACAGAATATAAATAATTTTTTATAAGATTTTATAAATAAATAGTCTATATAATTTAGGATAATTATATTTAAATAAGTGTTTATTTTTATTAGTTTTAACCTAGTTAATAATTTTTTTCAATAACTTAAATCACAAGAAAGAAGAAAACACATAAAGCAATTAAAAATTAAAATCGAGCAATACGTTTCCTTGAAACATCAAAAAAAAATCACAAGTTTCACTTTGACGCAGTATTTCAAATCATGTTATAATTGAAGTTGTTCTGACTTCTAATATTTGGCTTAATTTATGTTTTGTTGCTATTCAACTTAGTATTTTGATTTATATGTCGTAATTGAGTCTCTTTACACAGTTGTGCATTTTAGGATTGAATGTTAAATTGTTTTTATGTATGCATAAATTGAATCATTTGCTTAATGCCAATGCAATATATTTCTAGTTAATTAGTCATAATTTTGGATTAAGAAACACGCGAAAACAAGATTTAAATCATGTCAAGTCACGATTCAAATTAGCATTTGATTTTTGTTAAAATTTGAATTTCTTGAAGTGTCATTACTTCGAAAAAATCTCTCTCACAATGGTTGGAAAATTATACTATCACGGTTGACCAACTGTTGTGGGGTAGGGTGTGGTTGTAAGTACTTTATTTTCCACCACAGACGTCTGACTGTTGTGATAAACCAGGTAGCGTGCTACTTATCACAACGATTATCATAAATAAATGTTGTGATATATGTTAAAGAACAACAGATGAACTGTTACTTTGAAGAACTTGGGGCATTGATCCAAATTTTATATGTTAAAGAACGACAGATGAATTACAAAATGCATGCAATTCAAAAAATATTGATTGATCTAAGTTGGTTTTCAAATATAACCTAATTTTAAAATTATCATTTTCTAAATTAATTTAAATGAATGCATGTTCGGTGATGGGTTAGTGAAACAAGCAATCTACTTACGATATAATAAACTCAACTAGAATTAAAAACGAGGCAAACTTTTTGAACAACAACAACATATCAACTCATAAAATATTTCACAAATGTACCTTTATTGAAAAGATTCGTGGAGAATGAAGACGAAGAAATGATCTACTTGTCTCAGAATGGTATCCATAATGAAAGAAGGATGAAGTTGAAGTGAAAACTGCAAACTTGTGTCTCATGATGTGGATCTTTCACGCAAGTTTGTAGCCTTCACATTAGCTTCGTCTTCCTTTTATGATTTCTTCATAACAACACAAACAATTTGTGAACCACACCTATAAGTCAAAATGTATATTAGCATGTTAACCTGATTTGAAAACCTAAACTAGCATGATATTGAAAACCTAAACTAGCATGATATTGAAAACCTACAAATAACATGTTATTTTATTTGGAAACATAAACTAGCATGACATTAACAACATGTTAGCATAAACGGAAACTCAATTAATGTCTAATGCAGTGATGTCTCTGTTGAACTAGTGTCTTAAATGTAATAAAATTGACCGAGACACAAATTAGATTTTTAAGAAGAGCACGAAAACACAAATCATTTCATGGAGCAGACAGGTAACAGAGATTTTTAGATTTTTAAGAAGAACTAGTGTCATACATGGAGTAGATATGGTAACTGATATCCATTTTTAAAAGTAGAGACAACTAAAAAATACGAAAAATCATGGCAAATGAAAAACCTAAACCCTAAGATATCTGCCAAATGAAACACGAAAATCATACAAAATTAAATCGTATGAAAAATAAAGAAAAATGAAAGAAAGCGTATGAATAACATGGAAGAAAACTTATGATGACAAAGAAGAAAGGTAAAGAAAAAACTTATGAAGACGAGTTTGTTATATTTAGAAGAAAGAGATCTTTGAGTTTTATTTTGAGAGAGACAGTTATTTTATGCTGAAGCTTGACAATTTCACTTATTTGGAGATCAACTTACTCTAAAAGTAAGTTTTTTTTTTAACTTTCTCCAAATCCTAGCCAGAGGTATATTTTGTAGTAGTGTGTAATTTGCATCAGGGAATTGATTGACTCAAATCAAATTAAATATGGAAGGTTAGAAATTTATTTTCTGTACTTGATTTGAATCATGAAAAATAGTGATTCGAATCAAATAAGGGAATCTGAAAAATGAGATTTTGCTCTTGTATGTTGGGTTCGAATCATAGAATAGTCTTACTCAAATCACATAGATCTTGATTTAAGTTACAAAAAGGTTTGACTCGAATAAAATATTGGATGCAAATTTTGGATTTTGCTTTTTTGTTTCTGATTTGAATCATGGATTTGTCTGACTCGTTTCAAATTACTCGAATTATAAAAAGCCTTATTCGAATAATAGAAGCGGTTTCCTTGGTTTTGAATTCTTAAATCAAATCATTCACTCTTTTGACTCGACTTATGCCATTTACTTTGACTCTAATTAAACAATAACTTTCCTCATTTTTGTGTCTTTTCTCTAGCACGTATGTAAATCATTTTTCAAAAATTATCTCATAACAATCCATGATTTAGAATACACAACACATTTTTCTCACAAACTTTTAAAAAGCATTTTGAGTTTTTATTTTGAGTTCACAACTAAAGTTTCTCTTCATCGTCAACTTATAGCTTCTACCATTGTCGTTTGGTTTATCTTCTTAACTTATGGTGTGGGATTTATGTGAGGAGGTTCGTTTGTGATTAACATTTTTTGAAAGCTATAAGATTTCATATAGGCATCTTTATATGGTTGTGGCAGAGATTGGCAATCTGACAGTGAAAAATAGGGATTTTCTTTTCTTCAAGATTGCTTTAGGAGAACTGTGTGGAAGTTTCTATGACGAGGCTAGAGTTTTTATTACCTTTATACAGATCAAGGCTCAAATAAGGAATTGATAGTACACAAGAGAAATCGTTACAGAGCAAACGCTTGGAGCATAATTCTTGATATGATCAAGTGATATTGTTTGATATATGATCAAGTGATAGTGATTTAAATTTGAGTGATCCAAGGATGGTACTTAATATCTTGACCAAGTGATGGTGCTTGAATATCAATATGAGGATCTATGACCTTGCAAGTGTCTCTGATGATGTTGCTCATTCTAAAGCTATCTCAAGCCTTGTCAGAGATGATATTCCAGATTCCATGAAGTGATAAAGTCAAATATAAAGTAGTAAGGATCTTGAAACTTCAAAGTTGTGATAAAGAGAAAGTGAGAAATCTAGTATGGTTGGCCATGCGCTTAGAATAGTGTTTGGGTGCCCGGAGTATTGTAAAATGGTAGAGTAACTCATAAGTTACTAAGGCAACTCTCATACACTCACAAAATGTTTTGTCGGGACCCTCTCTCTTTGATAAAAGCACCCTAAAAAAATGTTTTTTTTTCATATAACTAATTGGTTTCAATTCCAAATAATCAATTGTGAGTGAAATTTACATTGAATGATCGATTATCCAATACGCCTAATCGATTATCTCAATTGCAATGCCTCATAGTCGACTATTAGGATTTGTAGTTGATTACTAACGGTATAATTTAAAAACTTTCCACATTTGAACTATGTAAGACCTTACTCTCCCCAGTGATTAAATTAAGAAAATAGTTGCGGAATAATAAAAATACACAAGTAGGATGCCACATCTCTTAAAACACATGAAGTATCAAGTCACTTCATATCGCATATACGGATTTACCATTTTCACATTGTGGTATCAAAATCTAGCACAAATGTCGCATCTACGGATTTATTCTGGTTTGAACTACAATGAAATAAGCAAAACAATAGCATATGACAGTGCATTTTATGCATAACAGCAGTGTATTCAGCAGCATAAATTTATTATGAAGTAGAACATCAACAGTATGTATAGCAGCGCGTTTTGTGCAGAACAGTTGTGTATGTAGCAGCAGAATTTTCTATATTCAATCAACTTATGCACAAAAGGAGTTTAACATCACCAACTAAAAACTAACAAGTAATTACAAGTTTACGAAGCTGCAATAAGCAAATTTGCAATTGAAACACACCACCGTAGATATGTGATATAACCAAATTGGAATCGAAACAAATATCAAAAATATTCAAACTTTGTATTAAAATAGTACCAACATCCAATCTTGTATCAATGCAACATATTCAACTTTGTGTCAAAATAATCTCTAAATCCAACACAAGCACAATTCAACTAAATCCCATATTTGAAACCACTAAAAGCGATACATTGTACATTATTTGCATCACATAGTTGAAGCATCGCCGAAATCACACAAATAAAAATAGAAATTTTGAATTAAACTGT